CCCCCTCCCCCCTCGGACCCGGGAGTCCGGGCCCCCAGCCCCCTCCTCCCTCGGACCCAGGAGTCCCGGCCCCCAGCCCCCTCCTCCCTCGGACCCAGCAGTCTGGGCCTGAGAGTCCTTTGCGGTGCTTTGCCAATTAAATGTCAATCCGGGGCAGATTCCCACCCTCTGCTCTCATCCCCACTTTCCCAGGAGCTCCACGCCAGACATTAACCAGCTGGGCTTGGGCAGCGATAAGGACTGAGGCCCGGGGAGACAGTGGATGTGGGGGGCTCCCCCACATAGTCCTCTCTTCTGGAATTTCCTGAGTGGGGACTGGGGAGAGGGTCTTGTCCTGAGCTCAGATAAGAGAAATTCAAGGTATTATAGGATTCAGAGATAGACCAAGAGAGGTTTTAAGAACAGAATGACCTGCTTGGAGAAAGAATGGTGACAGATGAAGAGAGACAGGAAAAGGGGACAGAGACGGGGGGGGCAGACATCCATGCAGAGAGGACAGAGACCCAGATAGAGGGCAGACACCCCAAGATAAGGGGACGGATCCCCAGAAGCGGAGACAGCACCTCCGAGAGAGAGACCCTAAGAAAGAGATGAGAGGGAGCTGGAGAGTCTTGGGACAGTCACACGGTCCGCAGGGCCCTTCACCCTACCACACCTCCACCCTGGGACTCCGGTTCCCCTCCCCTTGAGCTATTTTCAGAATGAAAGTTGACACCCACCTCGGGGGGTCATCCTGCACCCCTCCCTCAGCCTAAATATAGCATGGCAAGGTGGTAGGAAGGGTGTCCCTGGATTAGGGTGTTCCCCTCTCCTCCTCCCGATCCCAGCCAAGGCAACATAGAAGGAGGCTCCAGTTGTTTACTGGAGGTTCACTTTCCAGTCTTTGGGTGTACATTTGGGTCACTGAACTCTCCACACTTCCTCCGTTCCTAAACACCCAGCACCGCCCACCTACCAGAAAGACTGCGTAACTTCCAGTCCTTGATAGGATAGTAGGGATGAGTTTTCAAGGAAGAGTAACTGGAAAACAGTCTCTGTCCCCCTCTCTCCGGGTCTGTCTTCCTCTCGCTGGGTCTCTTTCTCCCTCTCTCTGGGTGTTTGCCCCCCTCTCTCTGGGTCTCTTCTGCCCTTCTGTGGGTCTCAATCCCCACTCCTGGGTCTGTACCCCCCTCCCAGCCCTCTGCCCTCCTCTCTCTTGCCCTTGGGTTTCTCTTTTGCTTTGTATCTCTGTCCTCTCTCCAGGTCTCGGTTAGTTGCTCTTTGTCTCCTGATCTTTGAGTCTCTGTGCCTTGTCTCTTGTCACTGTGAGGGTCTGTCTCCAATTCTGTCTCTAACTGTGGCTTCTCTCCATTTCAGAGAGAAATGACTACCTAAAGGTTATATTATTTTCAAACATTATCAAACTCTTCCCACAATCTGTAGTTCTCTCTCATTGTATACAAAGTTGTTGGATTAAATCAGGGGTTTCCAAACTGAATTCCTTAGCTGTATTTCAAGTTGCCAAGACTACCTAAAGGTTATATTATTTTCAAACATTATCAAACTCTTCCCACAATCTGTAGTTCTCATTGTATACAAAGTTGTTGGATTAAATCAGGGGTTTCCAAACTGAATTCCTTAGCTGTATTTCAAGTTGCCAAAAGGGACTCAAAAGGAGGTGTGTTCTCCTCAAACCGTTCCCCTCTGATGTTTCACACTGGTACCTCTAAGTAAGATATTATTTGACACCCCCAAAAAGGAGGTTTATAGCTAAAAATAACAACAACAAAGCTCTATAAACCATTGGATGGGTTTTAATAAATTAATACAAGTAAAACACTTTGAATGATGCCTGGCACATGGAAACACTATATGTGTTAGTGATTATAACCATCTGCCTCTTCCTCCTCCTTTAAATGCCCTTTTAGTTCTGAAAGACCTCTAAAAACTTTTGGCTTTGTGACCTTGGGTAACAGCCTCCCTTCTGAGCCTCAATTTCCTTGTCTGTAGGAAATGAGGCTACCAGACCAGAGAGGTCCTGTGCGTCCCAGCAGGCTGATGAGGACATGTGGAGCCAGGCAGCCTGCCACAAGTCCTGACCCCCTGAGGACATGCTGTGTGACTTTAGATACTAATCCCCTGCTCTGAGACTCTGCTTCCTCGCCTGGAAAACAGAGCAAGACCCCCAGTTTGTCCGACAGCCTTCCTTAGCTGCAGGGAGGAGGGGTGATGTGCCCTGGTTTAGGATCTCTTTATGATTCTGTGGAATAGGGACTGCGTGTCTCTTTCAGGTTCAGGGGCACTGACTTTCTCTGCCTTTTTCTTTTTTGGTT